CCCATCCACCCCATACCCTTCCTTCCACCCCTTCCACCCCTTCCACCCCTTCCGCCCGTTCCATTCCTTCCATCCTTTCCACCCCTTCCACCTCTTCCACCCCTTCCACCCCTTCCACCCCTTCCACCCACTCTCATCCCCTTCTACCATTTCGTCGCTCGTTGCTATGCCCTCGTTTGAATTGAAACCTACAGTATTCTAAATCCCGTGGGCCACACAAAACCATCAACATCTTCATCAATTTTTTTAAATCATCCACTTGCGAACGGCTTAGGTAATCGAAGAATTGAATTAATCCATCTAAAATCTATCAAACTTACCCTTCCGTCTCAATTTTATTTTATCACTGGAATATTTAAATATTCCGCACACGAACAGTCATTGAAATATTATTCTAAAAATGAAGAAAAATCGACTTGTCCTTTCCGGAGAGATAACTGAAGATAAAACTAATTGAAATAATTCAATAATTTAAAAAATTAATGAAAATAATTATTATTGTTTATAGATATTATGTGTCACACTTTAGGCTGCGATAAAGTTGAAACAAAAATGATTTTAGGATGGAATTTCAATTTCCTCGCGATTTATTCCGCTGGTATCACAAATTCTTTAGCTGATGGACAGAAAAGAGTTCTCTGGTGTCATTGTCCATGACGCCGTTCACTTGATGGCATTTAAAAGGCACATCCCACTGTAAATTGATCCATAATTGTCATGATGTCAGTTATTCCTCGTCCAATCGCTGATATGCGTTAATTCAATCGAATGCAAATGGAGCATGATAGATCCAATCTCCAAATCATACCCCAACATCGACGCCCTCTTTCTATTGTTATGATCGATGACGTTCATCAACTCAAATCAGTGATCGGCATTCAGATGATATTCTGTCTTGAAGAGCTCAGAGATACCGCGGGAATTATTCCAGGGAATATAAAATTCATTAGAGCGTATCAAGTATTTCCAATTGAATTTCTTGATTCTCTTCTTGATACTGATCTGGTGAGACTGATGTTGTCATTATCAATGACAAATATTTCAACGTCGGTTCAAGGAAATCTTGAAATTATCTTTTGAGATCTACATTTTTATTGGCGTTAATGCTGGAATGATTTATTAATTCGTATGAAAAATCTCGGCCCTCGAAAATATATATAACAATAATATATAAAAAATAAATAAAAGTAGATATCCGAGTAAAAAAATTGTAATCGGAATATTTTTTCAAAATTGTCCAAAAATTTCTGGGAAACTTTTCAGAAATTGTTTTTATGAAACAAAAAAATTGGAAAACAAAACAATTTTATTTTATTCTCTGATGGAAATAATTTCTTGGTTTTTATAAATTAATTGTTTATACATTTTTAATATTTTTTTATGGGAGCAATCGATTTCCGGATTGTTTGGGGGACGTCGGGAATTCTTGAGGAATGATTTCTCAGATTCTGTTGTCCCCTGAAAATTCAACCGCCAACATAACTTGGACTATTGATTACGCTGTAATCATTGCCCCAGCATAACTTGACTTTGGAATGCTTGTTAGCAATTGTATGCGGGCAATGTCGAGGGTAACAGTTTGTATGACGTAATTCATTCGAGCAAGTTTACAGGGTATTGTCCAATGCCTCCACTAATCTCCCACCAAGTCCCAATTAAATCCCCCAATTTACGGATATCATAATAGAAACTCCAAGAACAGCTGTTTCGTATTCTAGATACATCTGATGCTAATTTATTTAATATCTTGTCTTGAATTTTGGAGGGGGGAATTTAATTAATGAAAAATGGACACGATAAATTCCGCGGCGCATGAAAACTGACGAATTTCCCTGACAAAAAAATAAATTTTCCTTAGAATTCTCTAAAAGAAATTTTCCGGGGGAAATAGAAAATTGACTCGGGGAATTTACAATTGGTTTACTTTCCGGAAAATTCGGAAAATTCTGAATTTTCGGAATTTTTGGAATTTTCAGAATTTTTGGAATTTTCAGAATTTTTGGAATTTTTGGAAGTTTCAATGCCAAGGTGTTCCGGAAATTGAAATGAAATGGCGACAGAATGAAAATTGAGGGAATTCCTGGAAAACGTAGAGGAAAATTAGGCGTAATTTTTGAGGAATTTTCTTGCGCCTTGATGGACTTTGGAAAGCGGCAATCACCAGCCGACAAATCATGGTCCATAGGATGTTTCAGTTGTTCATTGTCCAGAGCCCACGAAGATGCGGTGGAACATAATGAAACTAACTAGCTCTAGGCTGGCCAATTAGCAGCAACAATATTTGACGTTAGTACAATCGAGTTCATCTAGTGTTACACGGAAATCCTGACCAAGCGGCCCTGGTACTCGTCAATATGCGGATAAATAAAGGGGCAACTGTTCAATGCAAGTCTCACAATATCTCTCAATCTATAATAATAATGATGACCTCAGATTGATGTTCATGATCGAGCTGAAATTTCTAAACAAAATCAAGGGCATGAGAATTTAAAACAATAACGTTTGTTATTTTTCCGGAATGCAATTACACTCGACTCATAACGCAATTCGAGATGACTATTGAACTCGCCATCGGGTACTCATCCAGAGGTCATGCAAAAAAAACCGATTATTTCAATTTTTCATTGAATTTTTTTTTTTTTTTTCTATTTTTAATGTGAAAACGGGAGATCATTCTGCAGAATCGCACGAGTGGGTGAAATGTCCACCCACGGGACACAATTCACACCTCGATATATTGTCAATCCCATATTAAAAATAACTCCATTCATTTAAAAGTATTTCCGATTGTTAATAACAAAGTGATCCGAATTTTTTTTATAATGACTGAAACATTAGATATATCAAATTATTTGTTTTAATTCAAATTATTTTATACCTACATTTCATCCCATATTTTTATATCTGCAATTATCGAAAGATGAATAACAATTAACAATAACAATATAATCCAGTAAAATCTTGTAAAATTAAATTTAAAAAATGTTTTTTTCAATTGCAATTGCAATAAATGAATTATAATTGTTCTTTCGATAATTGCGAATATAAAAATATAGACTCTCAAAAATCCAACCAATCAACTGTTTTCCAATAATAATAATAATTATTATTATTAATCAGAATGAATAAAAAAATATTTCATCAATTTCGACGCAAAGAAGTTGTGCGTTTAATTTTCAAGAATTGAGCGGTAATTTTTGATTCTGGTGTGGAATCGGTGGTGGAGAATTGGGGGGGTAGTTCAGTGGGTGGAGGGGTTGCAAAATGAAAGGTGGGGAGTAGTCGGCCGTTGGTTGGCAGCCAACACACACCCTCGGGTTATACGTCATAAATTTAGTGAGGTTGCGCGGCAACGTTTTAACGTCGGTTGCCGCTGTAGGAGAGAACTCACGTCAGGCTTTTCTTTCTTTCATTTTTTTTTTTATTTTCATCGACTTTTTTTTTTCTTCCCTCATCTGTGTACATCTCCGTTTCGGTTCACACGGGGTTCACTCATCAGTTTCTCCTGAGCTGCGCTACAGTTCGCGTCTGTCAACCCCTCCGTCACGGGTGAGTCAAAATACACTTTATATTTACACCAATTTTTCCATTCCTACCATTTTCCTCTAGTGATTCTGGTTTATAAAAAATTGAAATCAATTTTCAATTTTTATTAATCATTTTTAACCATTTTTAATCCATCTCTTTTTATTTTAAACTGGAAATTATTTCGGGAAAGATTTCCCGGCATTTTTCTATTCTCTCAAATTCAGTGGATCATATTTTAATATTATCAATTTTTTATATTCCATAATTAATGTCAATTCTTAATTGTTGAAAGAAATAAGAAATAAGAAATTTTCTTTAATTATCCCATTAAAGAATTAAATTAATTACTCGATTCTTGTTATCAATATTCGGTAATTATTTTCCGTGGGGATCATTCCTTTGAGAAATTAATGAATTAACAGATTTTCCACGGATTAACATTAAATAGTGCATTTTCATTATCAATATGATTTTTCCTTGCATTTTATTTTGAATAATTTTTTATTTTGTTTTCACAGAATGAATGAATTTCCCACGCATTAATATAACTGATGGATTTTTTAATTCCACCGAGTCCCCAGCGGGGTAATTATTCCCTCAAGTCCCGACTATTTGAGTCCGGCAGATCCTCATTTCGTCGACCTTGATTCTCATTAATTCATTACAAATCCCAAAGCCCCCCGACACTTGGGGTACAGAGTAACCCCATTCAAGTCAACGTCGCATCCTCTCCACAAAATTAACTTCAATTACGTTTAAATAAAAAATAAAGTAAATAACCCCCTGCCCATCGCCTAGTATTTCATCAGCGATCTATCATCCCACGTGATTTCGTGATCAATAAATTACCAGTGAGTGAACCTGACCATAAAATAATTTACTAACAAAATCATTCCTCTCCCCTTCACTCCCCCCAATTTTTCCACAAATCATTTTTCCCCGGAGATTTTTTTCACGTCGTAAAAAAAATGAGGGAAAACTTATCCCGGAGGTGTAACTTTGATCGCGAAGAGTGAAATAAAGATGAAAAAAGAAATATGGATCCGGAAAGTTGGAAACGCCTTTGAGGATGTACGTCACGTGGAAAGAGGCTGGAGTAAAGGAGAAAAATCTTTTAATCCTCTGGATTTTTTCGCATTTGGGTTTCACCGGGGTATTATTTCCATCATTAAAACAGAAAGGAGTGAGTAATAAATAAAACGAGGAAGGGGAAATGATAATACCTTTGATAACACCCCGTGGGGCACACAATGTTAACATTTATTTCAATTTTCCGTCTCACTTTTCCTGAAAATTAAAGACTTTTATCAACACTTGGGGACGGTCTTTCACTGTCTCAAGATGATATCCGCGTTGACAACTTGACATTATCTTCCAAGTTATTGATGACCTTGAGTCTGGCCAAAGCTGTGGACGTTCTACTTTATGGATTTTACGAGGTGAAGGCGAAAGGGCCTTTATTGATTCTGCCGATTTCATTCCGATTGATCAATTTCCGCTTCAGGGTAAAACATTAGTCCATCGGAGATTGACCAGTCATTACTAGAATATTCCCCAACTCAATTCGACCTTGACCCATTCTTCTGCATATTGATTATTATTTATCACTTTGAGGGAGAAGCCTCAGTCCAATATTAAAAATAATTTAATCTTCAAGTTCTTAAAATCATGTTTGATAATTATTTCAATTTTATTCCATCAAATAAAAAAAAAATGAGGATTATCTTGACAAGTAGGACTCAACATTGAGAATCCTTCAAGTCTCAATCTGTGCCCTAATTTGAGACAGGTTCTCCAAAAAATTGAATAGTCAGGCATTTATCAAGGACGTCTGACCAGAAATTCCAAAAAAATATTGCCATGGCGACTGAGGACGAATTAATTGATAAAAACCGGCGGGAAAAAATGAAATGGTATTTCGGAATAACTAACGACTCAGTGAAATTAATTTCTCACGGTACATATGTAACGAGGAGGGGTGGAAGGGTAGGGGGCACATTGATTTTGTGCCAGGACATGCTCGCAGTTCAATCACCCCTTTTCTGTATTTACTGGAATATTCATCAGCCTCGAAGTTCCCCACAATGCAAAAGTTGGTAATATTTCGATGCCAACGCCAGCTGTTCCATTGTCTCTTCTATGTACCGCCTGTCGAAATAAAATAGAATTGATAAAAAAAAAGATCAATTTTCCAAAAGAACTTTCTCACATAAAACAAAAATTTAATTTAAAAATTTAAAAATTTCATTATCCCGATTTTCTTGGATCAATAATTAATGCGGGGTGAGTATTTTTTTAAATTTTTGGCTACCGGATTTATTTATTTGAGGGATTAAAGTTGGGGGATTAAATGGAAAATTTCGGGGGGACTTATCGAGGTTGAGAGGCTCACGTTGACCTGCGTTCAGGCCCTTTTCTCAATTGCACCTGAGAAAATGTACCTGAAGAGGAATCAGAAGGGATTACCCGGGGTGGATGCAATAAAAGTGATCGGTAATTCTAGTGCACCGTAATAAAACAATTCTCATGCAGGTCTGAATGAAGGGATTAGGAAAATCTCGCGATGATTAAAATACCGAGAAATTTGCCTTTCAAATGTCTGAGGGAATTTAAGTCAATAAAGCGATAGCGAGAAATTGTAAAGTATTCTTGGATGAGTTTTGGAATTTTATGACTATTTCCACGACGTGACTGAATTCACGGTAAAATTTGGGGATTTTGTGGGGGAAAATCGAGTGGAAATTGGGAAATTCTGGAAAACGTGTGACGAATTTCTGAATGCAGAAAGGAATTCACGTGTCATTCCCACCGAAATACAATTGGATATTCATCAAATTTTTTGGGGGTTATGGGCTTTTTATTTGGCTAATTACACGTCTTGGAAATCCGGCGGGAAATTTGAATTTCGGGGTGGGGAAGGAGTGAAAAAACTCAAGTTTTTCTGCTTTTTGGGAACTTTTAGGAGTGGGGAGGGAATGGGGAGGGAATGGGGAGGGAGCAGAGAATTATTACATCGGAGGAATGAAAAATTACGCGTTTTTGGTTCAAGGACGAATTCCTGTTGCCAGGAAGACGTACCACACGTGGCCATCCACGAGCAATAAACTACAGAATTTCATTATTGCGTATGTATTCTGGTTTGTACACGTGACATTGCATCTGACAAGTGTCAGACGTGGGTGGTTTTACTGCAGCGTTAAATGTAACGGGTTGTGCATTTCATCGATCCCATGATCGAGGTCAGCCGCTAATTTTCGTACTTCAATTCTACAGTTCTTTTTTTACCTCTTTCAAGAGTTTCGAGGATTTCACTTTTTCTCGGAGGAAACTCGTCATTTGCTCCAGGAAATTTCGTGTCAACTTGCAATTCCGAATTTTTTTATAAACAGAAATCTTTTTTCTGGGTGAAATAAAATCCAACGAGTAAAAATAGCAGAAATTAAATACCGATGAATGAATTGAAATGACAATTGAATTCTCTTTGAGATAAAGAGATTGAAAAAATTCTCATTTTCCGGGTAAAAAAAAAATGGAATGGGAATATTTTTTCAGAATATTTCTTTAAATTTTTCAAAAATTTTTCAATACCTTTCCCAACAATAAAATTATTATGTTTTCCGATTTTTTTTTGTTTCATAAAAAAAATTCTGAAAATTTTTCCCGAAATTTTTTTAAAATTGAAAAAAAATATTCCGATTACAATTTTTTTTTACTCGGCATACTAGTTACAACTTCTCGTTTTTCCCGTTCAACCAAAATATTTTCCCGCACTTGTGTTTCATATTTCTATCCCCCCCAGACCCTGAGGTTTTTCTTTTTCAATATCACGTGCATTTCTCGCTGCCGAACACAATCGAAATAGAATTGAGTTTCTGACTCCGTTATTCTTGTCGTCGTCTTCATCAGTTGAAAATTATGGCGCTCGTCGTATTGTGTTCCATTTTACGTCAGAGAGGAAATCTTACTCCAGTTTCATCTTTCCACAGTCTATTTTTACACATACGTCGATAGATTCCTCTTTTTTCACGACGCGAATTTCTTTTCATTCTCAACAAAATGTTCATTAGTCCCCATTCACCCTGAAAGTCACGAAGGAATTAATCCCGCGAATTTCAAATCAATCCGTGAACCGATAATTGTTACCAAGAATTTATCAGTGACTTCAGCTTGAAAACTTTTTCCTCAACTATAAAATAATTCATTAGAAGTGTTATCTCGGGATATCGATGGAATATCTAACAGATCTTCATTTTACTTTTCTATTTCTGTCTGTAACGATCGGTTTGCGTGTGAAAATGCCTGATTTTATCAGCGAATCGTATTTCGTCGGGTTTGAATGATTAAACAATCCGTCATTAAGAAATCGAAGAAACGAACCAAAAAAAAAAAAATAAAAAGAGAAAATTCGGAAATTGTCTATATTTCTCAAAAGGTCATCGAATTTTTTTAATTAATCAATTTCACCTATCGATTTATTCAGACTTGTGAATTCTAGTATTTAGAAAAAAAAGTTTTGAATGCCTTTTTTATTCTCTGGATGAAAGAAATGATAATTAGGGTAATTAGGGTAATTATTGCCTACTCTTGGCCAGTTTTGAAAAAAACTGCTCAATGGAAACCACGAGAAGGTGGTAGGCGTCTTCCATCAGGAGGGGAAGGAAAAGGTGAAGAGGTCATGTGGGATAATTTGTTAAAAATAATAAAACGATTAATCATGAGATCAATCCAATACTCGTGCCGCTAATCCATGCAAATCTGGCTGGCGACTGCTCACACAAAGCAGCACAGCCTTTTTTATATCGCAGTTCGATAAAACCGATTGTTTCGAGCTGATCTGGCTCATGTGGAAAATCGCACGGTCACACAATCTCGTGGTTGTGAAGGAACAGCGAATCCTCTTGTAGACTTTTAAAAGATTTGGGTACGATTTGCTCTGAAGAATCCTCTGCCATGTGCCAACTTCAGAATCCAAAAGTGACAGGTCATCATCCACCGGTAAATTACCGATTTCATTCGCTATATCTGAGAAATTGACAGGATGACACCCCCAAATCACCGACGAAACAATTCCTGATGATTCCTTTTTGGACCGAGAACAGCGCAAATAGTTGATGACCCATTGTGTCTCTGTGACGTCTCCAAATCGATTCATCAGACTTTCCAGAAAATTATCGGTGAGCACGAGAAATTTATCACTATCGAATGGCGTATCGTCTTCACTCACGAGATTCTTCAATCGTGGGAATAAGTCGCTGATTGAATTGTCCTCGAAACTATCAACTGCGTACTCCATTGCTGACTTCAATTCCTCGATTGATTCGAAGTTCTGATGGAGATAATTCGACGTGTCCTCCATTTCTCGTGTTTGCCAGCTGATGAGTTGATTCAGATCGACGATATAAGCCAGAGTGGAGAGCCAGTCTGGATGACACAATTCTGGAAATATTTTATCACTTGTCTTCAAAAAATCGACAATCTCGCCAAAATTGTCGTAAAACTTTTGAAGCATTGATCGTTTTCTGAGCCAATCAACTCCCGAGTAACAGAATAACTCATCCAAATTGTCTTCATCTCCGAATAGCTCAGACAATCGCTGATTCGATCCCTCGGAAATAATCAATTCCACAATTTTATCAGCTGATGTTATCACAGGTTTCACTTGAATCTCTTCACAGCAAAGACTTAACCGATGCAGAACGCAGTGAAATGATTTGAACCTGGGGAAATCAGGATCAGCTCTGCACTGAGCTACGAATCCACTCATGATTGAGCTGCCGTCGGTGGTGATTCCCGCCAATTTATCCAGGGAGATGCAGACGGAGAGGAATTCCTTCTTGAAGGCTTTGTGGAGATCCAGGTCCGTGTGATTCCTCGATACGGAAAAAATCGTGAATAAATCCTCACGAGTTGATAAATCATGAAAAATCATCCGAACAAAAACAATCACTTGCACTTGATCCGAGAGATGACTAGCAGCCACCACCTGACACGAAAAATAATCGCATTGAGCTAAATCATTCAGAATTTGAGACTCTAGATCATCCGCGATTGACTCGATCCTTTCAGCAATCGCTGATCTCGATAGCTCCAAATTATCGACAAATCTGTTGATCCTCGCTTCTAGGTGTGTGCTCCCGAACATTGCTCTCATAGCATCAGCGAAGAAGTTCTGGTACACCTCGATGTCCTCGAAACTTCCCAGATCCTTCACCAGCTTTTGCGCAACTTGGAAAGACATGAGGACGCGAGTCGATGAATTGTCATTACACAAATTCAAATCTATCGACGAACTCATCTCTGATTTTTTCGAGAGGATCTCACTGACTCGGACTTGAGAGTTCAACGGAAAATTTACGGAGAAGTCCGGATGACGGGACTGGTGATGCCTCTGGATGCTGATCTCCGTGGACAGCTCAAGGCCACAGAGCAGACAGACAATTTTTTCGTTGATTTGGGAGCACGCGTAGGTGTTCTCCCACTCGGGGTTGAAGCTGGCGTGTCTCGATGTTGTTGTTGGAGATTCCATGATGGCACGTGGAAGATGATGAAGTGATGAGGTTGATGATTGATATAGACCAGCACGGTTGACTGATAACAGATCCTCAGTGAATCGCAGTGGAAAATCTGAACGTAATTTTGGTAATTGAAAACACTTCTGCATTCGTCACTCCAAAAGTACAGACTGAATTCCCTGGGTCATCATGTCCGCCAGTACCCCCTCCTTCTCCCCCATCGATGAGTCCCATTCGCCACGCGCAAGGGCCCAGCGGCCAATCAGAAATCCTGGGACCAGACAATCGACGCCATCGCAGGTCAGGTACACGCGTGGGGGATTCCCCATTGCAATTCTAATTCTCATTCCGAAAATTGAATTTCCAGTATTCCCAATAATTCCGTTGTCATGTCAATCAATAAATTTAAAACCAATTTGATATTCCCAAAAATAATCGATTCATCAACGAAATGGGGAGTTGGGGAATTCAGAATTTTCATTGAGATTTTAATTTTCTTTTCAGGAATCTTCAGGGGAATTTTCTGCGGGAAATTCTTGGGGATCTTTTGGAACTTTTTGAATAGTCTTTGGTGTTATTATCGAGATTAAGATCGAGACAATGACGGAGGATCAGCCGAGCTACAAGCTCATCTACTTCAATGCCCGAGGACGTGCTGAACACATACGATTTATATTCGCTCATGCGGGTGTTGATTACGTGGATGAGAGGATCCCGAAGGAACGCTGGCCCGAGTCGAAAAAATGTGAGATCATTTACCCAGGAATGCATTAAATAATCCAACATCCTCCCACCAAACCCCTCGATAATAATTATTCTAAACACTTGACCCCCGATTTTTCCGGTGAAAATTCCGGTGAAAATTCCGGTGAAAATTTTATTAATCATTCTTTTTTATTCTTTCTGCTTAATTACTCAATTTTTTGTCATCACATTAAGCGATGCCGTACGGAATGCTACCGGTGCTCGAGATAAATGGAAAACCAATTGCGCAGAGTAATGCAGTAGCTAGATATCTAGCTCGAAAATTCGCTCTGGCAGGACAAAACGAGTGGGAGTCAATGCTCTGTGACGTTCTCGTCGACACCCTGGGGGATCTAAAACTAGGTGAGTAATAATAATAATCGACTGCAATTCCAGAGAGGCAGAAAGTTCAGATGAATTTGAGCTGAATTAATCTTTCCACGAGAAACCAACAAAAAAAGATAAATGCAGAACAATCTCGATATTCCGAGTGGACATAATCATTCTGATGATATTTCACTTTTGATACTGCTCTCGTCTCTTTGTCACTTGCTTTGTCACCATTTTTTCTTCAGTTTTCCCTCGTTTTACTCAACTTTATTGACGTCCACACTCTACAGTTTTATTTCAGTACAGAACTGAAGAGGACATTTACAAACGAGAGGAGAAGAAGGTCAAGTTACTCAAGGAGACAATACCCTTTTACCTGAACAAGTTCGAACAAACAATCGCTGAAAATGGTGGATATGCAGTTGGCAATACGGTAATTAGATAAATAAATGGATAAGTAAATCGAGATTCATTTGCGCCTGTATGTAATTTATTCACAGTAAAATTGAAATATTTTTGAAAAAAAATTACAGACGACGTGGGCCGATTTCGTGTTTGCGGTTGCTTTGGAGAACTTCGAGCAATTGTTCGGTGCAAATGCTCTTGACAATTACCCAGGACTCCGTGGATTAAAACAACGTGTTCATGAGATACCTGCTATTGTTGATTGGCTGGCTAAAAGACCGCAAACTGATTTTTAAAAACAATATACCATTAATTATTGAAATGATCTACGAATGCCCATTATCGAATCAAGGTGGTAAGAAACCGGATTTAATAATTAATCGGTGCATATCTACGCGTACCTACTATGACGGAACTCTGCGTGTGGCCTTAACAATCTTATTAATTATTCCATTTGTTATTGATTTATTTGCGGTATTTTATTTCGTATTATTGAGCAACCATTCGCCGTTTATTTTTGTAACGACAGGATTTAGTAATCGGAGTATTGGATTTCTTCCATTAGGGCTTTCGGTTCGATATTAGAATCTATAATCTATATTAATTATTAGTATTATTAGGATTAATATTGTTTAATTATGTCAATTATCTCTGCTATATTTCCACGAGATGATTTATTAGAAGTTGATGGCGAATTAGCGGGAGACATTGAAATTCAACTTTCAGATGATTTCTGTTGTTGAGTTTGAAATTTCCGGTTTTACTTTCTGTATTTATCTCTTGTACACGTAGAAATGAGAAAATTCTATTTGTGGAGGTAAACAGATGTGGGGATTGTATATAATTTGATTCATTAACGAGGGGAAAGGAAATTAAGTCGATTATGTGGTACTATCACACGAGAACGAAATTCTGTAAATGAACGAGGAAAATTTTTGGGGAAATCATTTCCGTGTGAATTTTTTCATTGAAAAATAGTATTTGGAAATGATGAATAGTTTGGATTTTTAGAACGCTTCGGTGGAAAATTCAGACGGAATTTTTCCGCGGTTGATAACAAAATGCGTATACGTTTTTGAGTGTATAGATGTTATTTATTGGTGTTGAAAATACTGAAAATAATGTAAACGTTATGGATTTTTAATCACTGATTCTAGGAGTGATTGAACAATTCATTTGACTATTGAAAATGTTTTTTCAGTCACATGAGTTTTTCAATATGGAAAATTTGTTGGGAAATCTGGGGAAGATGGCAATTACTGGAATGGAGACTACTATGATGTCAATGTAAAATGTCAACAATGGTTAATGCGATTAAATGTAAATGTTGAGATAACGACTGAAATTCCTCCATTTTATTTTTCCCCTGCACTCCAAACGCATCCGATAAATTAATTGAATCTCCTAAAAATTCTTGGATAACTGCATTTTAATTAAATTAAACATTAAAC